AGGGAAGTCTTTCATATGAGGTTATAGTTGAACAATCTCTATCCCTTGCTTTTATAAATCTCTGTACAATGTTTGCCACCCAACAGTTATGACTTCCTGTTTTTTTCATCACTTATTTTCCTTTTGTCCCACCCTCCATGGAAATTTTTTGCTTGGAGAAAAGGTTCATCGTACCTTCTTCCTTAGCAGACTCCCCTGGACACATTAGTGTTTTCTGTCAAATGGTCTGAATGTAATTTACAAATAATGGAGCTGGTCTATCAGCGGTGCTCTCTCCTCCCTGTGACACAGGTAAATAGTAACAACATGCTGTCTTTTAGGGAGGGGACAACTGACACGCTGCAACCACAGCACCCTTTTACAGAAGGTCCATCCAGATTCACAGAAGGCACACTTCTGGCAGGGAAAAAATGCAAACTGAGAAACTGTCCTTCTGTCAAACATCTACTTGGCATCTTAACCCTTGGATATGCAGGAAGCAACCCTTGATTATGCAGCCCCCGATCATGCAACTTGCAGCTCAAGGCTGAAAGCAGAGCAGGAAATTTGAGAAGGGCGATGTAAAGATGGTGTAGGGCTACCTCACTCTCTTTTTGCTCCTTGGCTGCCATGCACACAGCCACTTCTCAAGCATGATTTAGAACAGCCTGGTCATGATCTCAACTAATTCTGTGGCTAATGGCTCCAAAATAGGACCCTGTGATCAAAATGTCCAGCAACATGAGGTCATGACAACAAAAGGCCGGTTTCATAGTGAAAGTATGGCTTTCAGGTGCTACTGGCTTTAAAGCTCAGCAGTAAAACAAAGGAGAAATCTATATCTGGGGACCTTCATGGAAAGCATTTCTGTATGCTGTTCATCAGAGGTACCAAAGCAGCAAATAATAAGTTCCATGAAAAAAAAAAAAAAAATTGCCACAGAGGTTAGTTAAATAATTTAGCTGGGAATGTCATTGCTGAGCTTTGCCATAACCTGCACATAAATGCACAGACCTACAGAGGTAGCGAATGGCCGACTCTCCCAGGAAAGGTTTTGTTATCCTTATATTGCTTGACTTTTTTACACCACATCTGTGCTTGCTTCGTCATTCTACCATCTGCTGTAACAAAATACAGGCAAAGCATTGCAGAAAACAACCCCTCCACACTCCTTTACTTCTCACAAGCTGTAGTGCTTATTATCCTCTACTCCTCCTCCTCCCTCCCCCCCCGACATGCGTGATGAATTACATACGCGTACCAAGCGTGGAGAACACAGAATCCCATTGATTTTGCCACAATGTTTCTATTAAATGAATTGAATGGTTATGCGCTTTACTTCGCTGCATAAATGCGTTTGCTGAAAGGTCAGAAATAGCAGGTCATTATCATTAAATTTTTAATTTTGGAACTCCCAATCAGAGTTGTTTCCTGTTTGATATTGTCTACAGACACACAATGTGTAGCTGAGTGAAAGACTCACATTGCTAAAGCATCGAAATAACAGAGTATGAGCAAAGTGGTTTCGAACACATACTCTGTATAGTACAGTCAAAGTTTCTTCCTGGTGCAGCCGCACAAATCTCTTGGTAGCAGTAAACTTGCTGCACAGACTTCATTCCTGAACACATGTTCAAAGGTGATAAAATAAATGCAGATGGTTTCTCAAAACCTCAGTGGAGCATTTTTTACTGTTACTAAACGGACTGTAAAAAAACTAGGGAAAAAAATGGAGAAAATACAGTTTGACACAGACAGGCAATTTCAGAATAGCATTCAGTCGTTTGGGACAAAAGCTGAATAAAATGTGTGTTTATAATGATCTATTGGCAAAACAATATTGACAGAGCATCTGAGCTGCCTAATGGGACTGAGTTTTATAATACTCAAATTAAACTAGCATTGAGAGCTGAATATTTTGCTTAATTGCTTAACACACATATAAAAAATTTGGATAGAAACTTCTAATTCATTGTGACATGACCAAAGTTGACAATAAAACCATCCCCAGCTACAGTGGAAACAGGATTAGGCCTTAACAAATTTATTACAGGCTTTGTTTACAAACTTGTTACAAAATTATACAGCATCTTATGTGTACACAGGATTTACAAGAATGCATAACTGATGTGTGAGATTGCTCTACTCTCTGGCTGAGATCTGCAGGTTTTTCTTCACTCAGGGCCTGATCCAGCTTCCACTGGAGAAGGTGAGAATTTTTCCATTGACTTTAGTGGAAACCAGATCAGATCCAGAGGGTAACACTTCCATTCATTGTTATACTGGGGTGGGAAAGAGGCAGCTGATCTAATAACCTTATGCACCATGCTTTTCTCATTTAATGTGCTTCAGATGACGGGCATTGTACATTTTTGCTGGCGATTTGTAAAATACTTGGTGCATTGGTAAAATTAAGAGTCAAAGACCAGTTCCTGTTATTGGATTTACAGTGGAAAATGAAAAATTGTTTTCTTTGAACCTATAAAGAATGAACCTCCCTTGATTTTCAGTGAGCAGGAATAAAGCATTAGGATCAACTCTGATGCTGCTTACATTACATTACTATAAACCTACATTTTCTCACCCATCTTCAACAGAATTTCTCTGGATTTACAGTGATGTAAACAAGCCTGGGATCCACACGGTAGGAACAAGGTAGTTTCCAATTAATGGGATATAGGGTCTGTAACCAACAGTGACTAACCTAGCTCAGTTAGTTTTCTTACTTCCTCTGCTCATATGGAGATAGATCTGTCTGGCATACTAAAGCATGGAGATCTCTAAAGTTAATGGTCCATGACAATATCTGCTCTCAATTGCTCACAGCATCTGAAAATGATCTTTATTTGGGAATTAAGTGTGTAAAATCAGGTTTTTAACTTGCAAAAATTTTCCGTGGGACAGGACTCTGAAAAATATGCCCGTCCCCCCAAAACAAAAAAATACTGAGTGGGGGTTATTTTTCCCTGTTGAAACTTAAACTGTCCTACTAGTAAAACTAGACACATGTCTGTTGAGCTTTTTTTTTTTTAATGTTTGCCAAGGAAGAAGAATGAGAGAAAAATTCTAGTCAGATCTATCAGATACCAAGTTCCTTGTTATTTTACATACTCTCTTTCCTTTTAACAGTTATCTCAGTATCAAACCTCTGAAGTTATTATTGTTTGAAGCCAAGTTAGGGTTCAGTTCTGAGAGGTGATGATATTTCCTGTGAGATAAATACCCTGGCCTCATGTTGAAAATTGAGATCGTTCTCAAAACCTTTGTTTATGGCCTCCCCTGCAGAATTATACCTACAGACTCCAGTGTGGCTTTCAGAGTCACTGCTGTTCCAGTGCTTTGCCTCATGAGCAACCTGTCCAGTTCTCTGGTGGTTTTATGATATGTAATGTTCTCGGTAAGGGATTAGGGGAGACCACACAATTTGCTGCCTTTGGTTACTTGTTGCAGCTTTGACGTTGGCTCTCCAGTAGTGAAAACTCTATGAGCAAAGGCATCCTGCAACCTTGGTTTTGAATGTTCTGATCTCATTCTCATTTGCGACACTGAACATGCTACAACAGTGAAAGCGTACTGTAAAAACCTAAGACCACTACAGCTGTAACGCTTTTTGAATGGATGGCATTTTTCAGCCCTGACTGTGTGTTAAGATCTAGCAAGATTCATATAACATATGCAGTCCAAACTTAATTCTGTTGATATCCATGACAAGACTCTCATTTACTTCTGTGGGAGTGGGATCCAATCCAGGGCATTATACAGCTAAGGTATAATAGATTATCATCTCTTCAAGTAGTGTAATTATTACTGTCCCCAGTAGAGCTACAAGACTACAAAGAAGAGTTTGAGGTATATATATGCTGGTACATTTCTGTCCTAAGTAACAACTCACCTGCATAATTGAAGAACTTCATAATAACTACGGACTACCTTGATTTTAGTCACCATACTGCTCAAAAAGATATATTATTTCCTGTCCGTATGAAAGCTACCAGGTTTGTTGAGCAGTTCTGCATGTTTTTCCCTCTGTGAAAAATGGAGAATGGATTGCTGAGAACAGTTTCTTACAAGTGTGTGGCTTTGATATCCATGCCAGGATATCATCTCTTTCTTTACTACAATTTGCAAGCCAATGGCCCTTTTAATGTTAAGACACCACCAGCTTTGTTTCTACTTTAAAAAATCAGGCAGAGAGGAATGATGCAACAATGCAAAGAGAAGATAATTGATTCATGTAAGAAGGAAGAGGATGATCACAATAAATAGTAAATTCTGAAGAATCATCTTTTATGTATTATAGTAATGATCAGTTTAGATTCGTTCTTGGCTTCAGTGAGTTTCTGCTACAAATATTTTAGCTTTCTTTCATATTTTTTCTATGACTAACTGGCAGCATTAGAAACAGTTGCAAAACAAATGTGCTTCAAAAACAAACGTAAGTTGCTGGATTATTAGCAGTCATTCTGAAATGCTAACAGAGGAAAAATGGTCATTTCACTGGCAAAACTGGCATAAGACACAGAAATTGTATTTCATGGCTACTTTATGCCTGTAATGTTGACATCATCTTCAGGCTACAACACATATTTTGGTCCATTTTTCTTTTGGCGCTGAGGAGTCAACACTGCATTCAGTTAACTGTGCATGTATAGAGTGGGGAATATAAATATGTACACAACTCTTGACATTGATCTGATTTTTAACAAGTTTACTAAATGACAGTCACTGGCTTGACAATACTGAATGAAAAATACTGATTTTACACAGATTTTACAGTAAGGTTACGGTATGCTGCCGACAAGCAGTGTCACAAACATAGTCTAAAAAAAACCTGGAGTTGCCCACAGCAGAGGCACACACCCTTTGCTCTTGTTTATTGACAGAAAGCTTATATACTGTAGATTTGCTGAAGTTTAATAAATAAGGTCAACTTATAATATATAAAACAATATAAACATTTATATGCTACATGCATATCATATAATTTAAAGTAATAATTTATATAGCAAAGAGATGCAGATTTATGTTCTTCCTATTTTCCTTGACAACGCGCACACGCAGGAGGTGTCTATTCTTATCCATCTCCAGCCTACCAGTTTATTGTTCTCTGAAGTCAGTGCTCTAACATAAGTTTGGGATGTCTTGCATTGGGAGTTCCAGTGCTTGTCATCAATGCCGCGGCAGCCGTTTTTGACAGGCTTCGCTTCTTTACACCTCGTTTCATAAAAGTATTGCTTAACCGGAGAGTTGCCTGTTTTAATTTCTCCCAGCACAGTTACCTGGTGTCCTCTAATGTCAATTGCGGATGATTTGTCCGTGACCCATAAACTTTCACTGTCACAAACGGAATATTCCCCTCGGTGGCTCTTGTGCTCCGCGTACCTTTTCCGCCGGGAGGTTCTGTTCACCACCACCGAATTTCCAATATAATCCTCCATAAGGTAGAGCGGTGGTGGTTCCAGCGGCGTGTTGTCACTCAAGAGGACTCTGGGAGAGTTGTAGCGTCTCTGCTGCCTTAGGAGGTCTGTATCCATTGAGATAACTGGCTGGAAGTCTGATTTCACATTTTCATCTCCATCCATGTCTTGCTGAGTGTCTGCTTTCTGCACTGTGTTTTGATAGTTTTCCTTAATATCTACCATCTGCTTAGAAAGCTTGTTTTTCAAAATGTCTGCCTGAATAAGTTTAATAATAAGAGAATTTAATGAATCTTCTGGCAAACTCCTTTGATCCATGTTGGTAGACTGGATGCCACGAAGACAAGTGAGAAATATCACATAAAACAAGATGGACATCACCTTGTTCACCTGTAAGATCTGCAAAGAAATAGAAAGTCAACATAAGAACAAGTAAATAAGGAAGTTTACTAGATGCTGTAGATATGAAAATTCAAATTTGTTTTTAATGTGTCTCACATCTTCTGCACATTACAAATGCAGATAGGCCCATCTTCTGCACATTACAAATGCAGATAGGCCATGTGTTACTTTTAAGATAATTTTAAATTATATTTTATAATTAATGCAACTGTTTTCTGACTTTTGTGTGTGTGTTTCATCTGTATTTCATGCTCTTTTCAGGAAGACCTCACTCTTCCTCTTTCCATGTATAGTGGCAGTGGTCAGTTAGGTCCTTTCTCTACAGAGCTAGGTTACTCTTGGGATTGTATGTCCAGGTCTTGACAACAGAGAGTTGCCAAGTTATATTCTCAGGGTCTATTCCACAGAGTGGTTTAGTTTCAAAATTGCAAGATTATGCAGAGTAGCAGATTATCTAATGGTGTAAAATGAAGAAGTTCTGACTTTACTAAGTGTTGTCAATTTTTGTGTGTTGACATTTCATGGATCTCTCAAATTCCTATTCACCAAATAGCTTGTGTTTAACTTTACCCTAAGAGTATCATCATATACCGGGAAACAAATACTGTCTTTCAACAGCTCTTTCTCTCTCTGGTGCTATAAGAAAAAGTATTCTTGAAGGAAAAGGATGCAGTCAAGCAGCAAATTGGGGTTTCTTATATTTTGTACTTCAGAAAGCAGTAGTTAGACTTCTGTAACATAAGCGAGAAGTTCAGATGGATCCATAGACCATTTTGTACTGGTTGTTTGCAGGGTTGGGGTCTGGTTTTTTTTGAAAGGAATTTCATTACATTTATATGAAGTGGAACAAAACTGATTGTAGTTAGAAATATTTAAGGACAGATGGAGGACCTCCACACCCACCTTGAAACTGAAGAATCATGTTCAAAAAGATCAAAATTAACTCAAGATCAAGATTTTGAAAACTGGACCGAAAAGTGGGACACCCCTGAGAAAAGCCTAGCTCTGTTTATTTAATCCCTCCCATCAGGTATTTCCACACTTTAAAAAGATCCCCCTGAGCCTTCTCTTCTGCAGGCTGAACAGCCCCAGCTCTCTCAGCCTCTCCTCATATGACAGATGCCCCCATCCCTTAATCATCTTCATGTACTCGCTCCCATATGCCCATGTCTCTCCTGTACTGGGGAGCCCAGAACATCTGATGTGGCCTCAGCAGTGCTGAGTTGAGGGGAAGGATCCTCTCTCTCAACCTGCTGGTGATGCTCTGGGTACTCTGTGTTATTCCCAGAGGTATTGTGGAGAAATCAGACTTCTTAAACAGAAAATTTTCCATTTCTTCAAATGACCATTTTATGTTTAAGAATGCAAACCATTTTCTGCTTAAGAAGGCAAAGAAAAAAAAGTTTTACTGGAGAATCTTCTATCCACTCTAAGCAAAACTCCTTTTAGCAACAGTGAGTCCCCACTTCATAGTTTGGAACTGCAGCAAAATCAGAGCTACCCTCTGTGGATGTGTGATCTGTCCTTTTATGGACAAGAAATGTGTTTTTTCCATTCTCAGTTTGTCACAGTATGAGTTCACCTAAATCTAGACTGTTGCTTGCAGCAATGTTATGCTTTGGAAAAAAAAAATCTAAGTTTTTCAGTTACCATACAATTACTGTCGTACCTAAACAAATACTAACTTAATGTAGATGGATCTCGGATCCCAGATTGTGCTGTATAAAAAGACCTCTTCCTGTGCAATTTGGTCTTCCCTCAGTAAATGATGTGTTTTTAAAAACAGTAAAAATATTATAAAACAGATGTCATTCAGCAGATTTCTTACAGCACTCAGAAGGGCTAACCCACACACAGTATGACACACAAGTCCATAGGATGGTAAGCAAAGCTCTGACAATGCTCAGCTCAAAAGCTGAAAGCATTTTTTATGCCAACATGCAGCTGCATGTAACCACTGGTCTGCTTAGTTTCAAAACTAAGTGGCACTAGCAAAATACACAAGTTGGAGCAGGTGATGAGGTGGGAAAAGTAAGACTGGAGTTCCTGCAGATTCTTTTTAATGTCATGCTTCAAATAAATTATATTTCTCATCCATAGAGGAACCCTGTTAATGGAAAAAAATGGTTAAAATACTTTTCTGAAACTAATGTAAAATGCCTTGTTCATTTGGTGGGAAAGGAGTTAAACTACTCTGATATTTGACTTTTAGTTTGATTTGTACTTGGCAAATTATTTGCTGCAAAATGTTTCAGAACCAATATTTACATTTTTCTGGGATGTTTTGGAGTGCAAAATTTAGAAAGAAAATGCAAACGTTTGATGAGATTACAGTTTTCAGGGAGTTCCTCCAAGACAGTTCACCTTCTAGGTTTGTAAGTGACATGTTCAGAAATTCCAGTCCATGACTTGAAATTGTCAGGCTGCCTGTGAAGTCCAGCACCTCAGAATATGCCTAAGGCACTATTCTAACTAGGAGAAATGGGCATCATTGGGAAAGTGCAGCTGGCTTATGGCCTTGGCTCTCTATTTTGAGTATAAGACACCTTAAAAGTGTACTGGTTTGCAGGGCTGGGCAATATTTCTTTTGGTAAATGGCTCTTTGCCCCAAATGGAACTTTGTGCCTGTCTAAATTGAGGATAATTTGCAATTTGTTCTTTTTTTTTTTTCTTTTTTTTGTTAAACCAATACAAAGGAGAGGAAAATGTAAAACATCAAAATGTTTATGTTTTCATATTTTCAAAGCAAAACATTCTGATGTTTCTGAACATGCTTCGAAAGTTACACAATGTAATTCACAAAACAGAAAAACTGCTTACTCAATATAGCGAATGAGTATACGGTGAGCAAGTTATCTATAGAGGAGACTTGCATTCAGAGGCAAGATTTCAACAGAGGCATCCTGTCTAAGAGGACTGACCTAACTTCCAGGCTTCTGGGGCACAGGCTTGTATGGACCTTAGCAGAACCTACTCCAGCACAAGTAGCGATAGCTCCTTCTTCAGCCTTTTGGAGAATGGTATAAAAATTGCCCAAGAGTTTAGCCCTTCACATGAATCTTTCTGTTCTCTCATTAAAAATTCTTAAAATTAAAATGATACATTTCAGGTAGAAAGATGGATTTTGTTCAAGCCAAACTCTCTAGTTAGCTGCATATTGTGAGATATTTTTGTTGTTCTTCAAGGTTCTTCTTTCCATATGTAAATCCCTGAAAAGGTTCATTTTAGCTGTCTTTGTGGACTGTTTGCAGTCAAGTAAGTGTGATGAATGGTCCTAGAAATGGACACGGTACTATTTACACTCCTGCAGTAAGTACAGACTAGATTACTATATTTGGAGCCTGGGTCTGGGTCCCAAATAGGCATAGGCAAGCATTTCCCTGATGACCTCAGAATAAGAGCACAGCCCAGCAGCATGCTTCCTAGTCCAGTATCAGCTGAGGTAATGTTATTAGATACAAATAGTGAAGACCGTAATCTGTTTCCACTTCATTTCTGCCTGATATCTAATTGCACTAGAGCATTAACGCTGGTACCTCAGCTCAGTTTCTGTTTCCATGGGCTGTCAGGTCAGCTATGACACACAGCCTAGTCAACATTGAGGTGTATGACAGTACATGACTTGAATGGGTCTTCAGTATATATTGGATACACCGACACATCCATTTGAAGCCATGTAATCATCTTACTGTGCAGTACCTACTACATACCTGTCCTAGAAGCCATGTGGTTGTAGAACAGTTTAGATATTGTGAATCCAGAAGAATTTATCCAGAACTTTCTCTGAATTCACATCAAAAGGTATCCCTTGTTGACCTATCTATTTATGGTGAGCTCGTCATTTGACCTGGGACTCAGTGGCTGGACGTAATGGTAGATCACTCGTCTTGCTTTGTGCCTGTGCCGTGAAGACAGTATGCAGCTACCTAGGGTGGGCATTAGCAGCCTGATACAGTCTGGCTACTGTGATATCCACCCCATTTTCTGTCTCTCTTCTCCTGTATCACCCAATTCCTTTGCTATTCCATATATTGGGAGTTCAGCAAGGGCTGCTGACATGTTCCAGAAAGTGGTTTTTGCTGAACCACTGAGAAGCTTTGGACCATCTCTATTTCTGTGCTGTACTATTCTGTGTGCCCTCCTAGATGTTGGGACACACTTTTGATGTTTTGAGCTCCTATGAGAGGTATTAAAAAAGGGAAGGAGAGTGCATAGCTCTCAAATCAACCTTTAAATGTGCTTGGAAACACTCTGCTGTGTGCAGTTTGGAAAAACACTGTGCCCCCTTATTCAGAGATAGTACCCTGGCTTTCAAAAATTATTGCAAACATGGTAACAGAAGCAAAGAAGGAGTAGAACTAAGTGACAGTTAGGCATTAGGAATGGTCCAGAGGGTTTATGGGAATACATATCAAAACATGGCAGGAAAACCAGCATATCCTGGTAATACAGAGCCAGCTGCTAATTTGCACTAAACAAATTTGACTTAGAGATTGCTGACTTTTGTGGCACAGTGGGTGAAAACAAACACCATAGAAAAGAAAAGCTCATACATTGCAAAGTTGTTTGATCTCTCAACTGTAACTTAGCTTTACTCTATTTTAATGGCTTGTATTCCTGCCTATCACTGCAGTGTTAGCAGGGCATTAATGCTCTCTAATCTAGGTGTCTCAGGGAAGGCCTAAATTTAGGAGAAGTAAGCTTACCTATTGCTTCCATCAATAAATTAAATCCCCAGTAGACTCTGGCAAATCACTTTCTGCTCTTTTCAGACTCAACACTTTCCATAGTGTTAGAAAGCTCTGTTTATTTTTGTTTTGTTTGTGGTGATTTAAAAAAAAAAAAAAATCTGTATTGCTTTATTTTTATCAGTCTCTGAACAGCCTACCTAGCTGAAGAGCAAAATGTCATTTAATATATTCTGTGAAAATAATGAAATTCTAGTACTGTGAGATAATGCCTAAGTATTTACTTTTAAGTCATTACTAAGA